ATCAGCTTGTCCTTCCTGAAATGGAGGAAATCTGGATATTGCCCAAGACTGATCCCTCCAATCTGTTTCAGAGGCTTTTTTGGAGTAGCCTGGAACTACAGAGACCTCACACAGCCCTTTGCTTCCTCCAGCAGCTCAGGCTCCCACCAGTCTTTCCCCCCCCCCCCCTGTTTATTCAGGAATCATCACTAGGGTCAGCAAGAGATCACTCCAGCCTGGAATGGCGCTTCTTCTGCAGAGGGAAAACTGTGCAAAAATCCCAGTTCTGCCCTCAAAATACCTTTGATGCTGCTGGTGAGAGACCAGAAGCCCTCTAGGCCCACAGCTTTGTATTTTGGAGGCCAAGGAGCTCCCCAAGCCTCGTGCCTGCAGCCCAGTTGGACCTCGAAGCCACCCAGCAAGAGATCACTCCAGCCTGGAATGGCGCTTCTTCTGCAGAGGGAAAACTGTGCAAAAATCCCAGTTCTGCCCTCAAAATACCTTTGATGCTGCTGGTGAGAGACCAGAAGCCCTCTAGGCCCACAGCTTTGTATTTTGGAGGCCAAGGAGCTCCCCAAGCCTCGTGCCTGCAGCCCAGTTGGACCTCGAAGCCACCCAGCATGATCCCAAGGATCCTGACCCTGCTGGATCCTGCCCACCCAGCATGGCAGGAGCTGGTGCTTGGGAAGATGACAAAGTGGAGCTGAATCCCTCCTGACAGTGAGCATGCAGGGTTCTCAGCTCAAGGCAGCCTGGAAGCCAACATGTTCGATGGGAACAATTCACTTCGGAGGTGAATTGATTTCTCCTCCGAGATTCCACCCAGAGACAAAAGGTTTGATTTGCCAATAGGGGGAGGGGAAAAGGCAACATAAAAAGAAGTGTGTACTCACCAGCTGAAGGAACCTAAAGAATCCTGCCCAGGTGTGGGTTAGGAGCAGGGTCAGCACTGTGCCCGTGCTGGTCTGTGGGGCTGGTAGCTCAGCTGGACACCGAGCTCCTCAACCAGAGCTCGAGTGGTTCTCACTGGGCTCAGCTTAGGAATCCAGGCCTTTTGTTTTTCCCTTCAAGACACAAGAAGGGAAAAAAAAACAATACACACACACCCACCCCAAAAACAACACAACAAAACCCATTCCGCGCCAGTAACTGTAACGGTAATTACAAGGAGGTTTTAACACATGTCTCAATTTGCATTAATTAAATCGAGGGGGAAGCTTCGATGGAGTAAATGAGGGTGGTGTGGGCTTTTTTTTTTCCTGAGCAGCAGCAGCAGCAGCAGCAAACGCTGCAGCAGGAGCTGGTGACTCCACTTTGCTGCCTGCATGTTGGGTGGGATGGGGAGGGATCTGCCGGCTGGAAGGGGCTTCCCAGGAGGGATGGAGCTGCAGGCAGGACGGAGCTGGGGGTGGGGAGGCTGAGAAGAAGAATCTCAGCTCGAAATTACCAAGAGCTCCCAGACGGGGCTTTTCAGAGCTCGGAGAGGGGGGAAAAGCTCTGCAGCTGCAGGCGGTGGGAGAGAGGAGGTTGCTGTGTGGAGATAAGAGGAATGTGGCCATTCCCAGCCCTGGGCACGCTGCAAGCCCAGCTGTGAGGGGAATATCAATGGGCAGCCGTTTTTATTTATTTATTTATGTGATTGTTTATTTATTTATTTATTTAGATAGACAGCA